TATATATATATATATGTATGTATGTATGTATGTATGTATGTATGTATGTATAGATAGATAGATATGTGTGTGTATGTAGAGTATAGAGAAGGGTCGTGGATGGTGCCGTCGTCGAAGGGTGGCGTGCAGTTGAAAAGAGACAGAGAGCATTCCGATTGGCCCATTGTGGTACAGCCAAGCGACAATGCCGGCAATTGGCCGTCGCTCGACAAAACCGCTAAATGATCCGCCGCGGCGCAGTGGTGCCACGGCCACTTTATTTCAATCTAGGAAATCCTCCGCTACTCCTCCTCCCACGCCGCCCTCAATTCCAGATGCGAAATTACCCATTTTTCGGTATTAATGGCCGGCCGATGTATCGTGTTCGATCGTCGATCGGCCAGGATGGTAATGGAATCGCGAATCGTTTCTCTTCCACCCACTTCCCCGGTTCCCCGCGCAACAGACGCGGCCAGACGCGTCCAACCTTCTAGCTTTCGCTTTTTCGTCAAACCGCGTTTGCCCATCAATTTCAAGAGATCTTTTAATCGCAGTTGGAATAAAAGAAAACGTCCCCTGTTTCGAGAAAGACGCGCAAAGTTTACGCGCGGAAGGATTATGAGAATGATTGTCTGTGTCAAATCTGTTCACTGTATCACACAAAGGGAAGGCCGTTTAATTTCTCATTAGGATTGCTCATTGGTCATAAAAGTTTCATTAGGTATTCGGAGATCTCTAATCTCTTTCCGTTGAAAATGAATTACATCATATGTATATTCGATTAAAAGTAAATTAACCAAAGTCGATCCGTCGTCGTTAATATCTAATTTTCGTTTCTCGCTGAAGAACGTCTAACAAGTTGAACGACTCTTTTCTTTTTTTTATACCTATTGTTCCGCGGCAGGAGATTAGAACGTCGCGTCGCCGGTGATAGATGAAATTTCGAAGGCCGTAGGAAAAATGTTGGCTCCCCGGCGTTTTCAACAAGTAAGAGAGAGCGTCGACAGGAAATTTGCGGTGGAGACGGCGGTGGAAACGTTACACCGAGATTGTACGGACCCGTGTAGACCGAGGGGTGGGATTCAAACTTTCGGGTTCGCGTTGGGTCGGTTAAACGACGCGCTGCAAGGTTTGCGAGCACTTAGGCGTTAGCGGGGTATTCAGGAGCGATTAAATAATTAACAGCAATTAGGCAATTGAATTTCCTTCCCCGGCCTCTTTCCCTCCCTCCTTCGTTCAGCTGAACGTTCCAAGTCACTTTCAAAACTTCCCTCTATTTCTAGCTACCACCAACGATATTCCCAATTTCTCTTTTGAAGTATTTCTACGTTAAATTTCTCTCTTTCCCTCTCTCTCTCTCCACATATATACATATATCGTTACGCTAGTTAATTGCCGTTTTCTTTCAATCTTCGTAACTAATATCATCCAATTTTCTCGAATGGAAGCCTCTGTCCGATTATTCTCCAACGAGATCACGGAAGATCTTCGAACAAAGAAAAAAAAAAAAA